CTCTTTATAGGCCAAAGAGCGGATACCTACTTCAAAACACAACGAGAGCAGAGAGTATCGAAATTGTTTGATCATGACTATTTTATTAATACCTCGTGGGATCAACTTATTACCACATAAGGTCTTCAAACCGATCACATGGACATGTGACCTATCATTCCTAAGCTGTTCTTGTTCGCAAGAAAGCTTTAACAACGTCGAGGCTCGTGAAACCCCAAAACAAATTTTGGGCGCCTGCTTCAGATAGAAAATATCAAGAGTAATAATCGCAATGATTACTCCAACAAAAGGAGCAGAATGACAATCATAGTCATTCCACCATAATACACACCACACCCTAGTCATGACCAACTTCTCATTCGTCCCCTATACAACGGCAACCCAAGTTACCTCTCTCAACACAAAAACACCAAATCCCTTGACAAGGTATCTAAACTCCCTCCTCACACAACCATCCAATAAACTATAGCCAAAACAACCAGAAAAACAGGACAACAACCAAGAAAGGCTCAAATAAACCATACAAGACTTTAAAAAATAAAGCAAACTCTGAATAGCAATAAAAACATACATACTTAAATTTAACGACCAAATCAAAGAGCCCCTTTCGGACCTTAAATCCGAAACCGTAAAAGCAAAGAACCTGAAAACCCTAACCCTAACTTCACCGTTTTCGTCACGAAACACTCTTGACGGCGGCGTTAGGCCTAGCCTCCAGCGCCAGGACCCACGAAACACTAACCCTAACTTTACCGTTTCCGTGACGGTCAAATTTACCAATAACCTTTATGACGGCGGTGTTAGGCCTAGTCCTTAGACAGCTTGTTTCACCGGTGAAATCCTTTGCAAGTGAACCTTCCACTCCAAGGTGAGTAAAACCGGGGCTACTCTAAATCTTCTAGCCGAATAAAGGGTCACAAGCCCCTTCAAGACCAAGAATAAAAGGATAGAAGAGAAGGGAAAAGGCGACACTCGGAGTTTGAAACCGCCCCACAGCCAAACGAATAAGGGGAAACGAGAAGGGAGAAGAGGAGGACGGAGCCTGCCGCTGCGACTCTGAACTCCGGTGACGAAGAAGAAGACGGGGACCGAGAAGGGAGAAGATGAGGACGGAGCCTGCCGCTGCGACTCCGAACTCCGGCGACGAAGAAGAAGACGGGGATCGAGAAGGGAGAAGATGAGGACGGAGAAGGTAGATTAAAGAGAGAGAGAAGGGAGGAAACTCGCCGGAGAAACGGCTGCGGCGTCGGATCTCTGGCGAGCACCTAGGGTTCCGGCAGTAGACTTGATTGGAGGAGGAGATAGAACATAGAGTTTTGGGGTAGAGAGAGAAAGCTAATTGCTTTAATGGTGTATTGTTATTTGTTTAAATATATGTATTATGTATACCATAAGTCCATAAGTAAATATTAATTGAGTCCTACTAAAGGCTTATTCTCATGAACGATGCATTCAACTCAGCGTAATACTCCCTCTGATTTTATTTTTATTTTTTATTTTTTTATTTTTTTTGCATTACTTAAGAATGCATAGAGCTTTAGGAGAGTAATATAATATTGTGAGTGGGTGAATAAATTATTATGAGAAAAAGTAAGATGGGGACCATGAAAGCGAAAGTATGCGAGAGAGGATATATATTTTTATTATTTAAGTGGGGAATATAGAAGAGAGAGAAATGATAAAATAATTTGAGTGGGATTTAAAGTAAGAGAGAGAAATGATAAAATATAGTATAAAGTTACCAAATATAGAAGGGATGCATTTAAAACAAAACACCCATATACAAGAAAAGTGATGCAAAAAAAAAAAAAAAACCCTAGAGGGAGTAACATATAACTATACAAGTATATGATGAGCATAAACAACCAAATAAAGTCTTCTAGGCCGTTTAAATGACTCTCATCCCACCTTATTAAGTTTTTAACCTATTAGCTGAAGTAGTGGTTTAAAAACAAACTACTCCCTTCGTCCCCTTTTATTTGTCCTTTGAAGGAAAATCACGGGCATTAAGGTGGAGAATGTGAAATAATGAAAGTATATGGGAAAGTGAAATTCCCAACAAATAAAGTAATAAAAGTGCATGGAAAAGAGACATTTCCAATTAAAAAAAAAGTAATTAAAGTACATGGGAAAGAGAAATTGAGAAATTCAAGAGTGTAAAACATTAAATTAGTCAAAAGTTGGCACAAATTTTATGGTAAATGTTAGGGTAAAATAGGAATAGGACTTAATAAGAACTAAAAAATGAGGGAAAAAAAGTATTTTCACGTATCTTAATAATTATGAAAATATGAAATGTGACAAACATTTAGGGGCACCCAAAATGGCAAAAGTGACAAACAAAAGGGAACGAGGAAGTAATAACTTTTGGTATGCCCGTCAAAAAAAAAATAAAAATAAATAAAAATTGGGTATGACAGGATATTGTTTCTATTCAAATACGAAGTAATTCATACGAATAGTATTTGGACAATCATACCTTTTATTATTTTTATTTAATATATCTCTTTAAAAAATTATTTACTCCGCACATATTTACTCTCATTAAACTAAACTTGTGACATAAAGCCATATTAAAAGAACTCCCTCATATGGTTATCGGGCGCATTAGCTGCCCTATTTTGATTAAAAGATTTTGGATATTAGATATTAGGAAATTTTGCAAAAAATCACTTTTTATAAGACACTTTTTTCAAGAAACCACCTTATAAATTTTTTTTTGCAATGACATACCTTAATCAATTTTTATTTTTATTTATTTTTTATTTTTTATTTTTTTTGCAATGACACACCTTTGGCCAGAAAAGAGAGTTTGACCCTGTTTTTCGGCGTTGCCCGACCACGTACGAGACACGTGACCTCTTAAAACCAATCTCCAACTATGCCATCCACTAGAACGCCCAATGCCCACCCACCCTAGCCACTAAAACCGCCTTACCCACCTCACCACTACCAGATCTTGCCATTCACCTCTTACCCACCCCACTATAACCACCAAAAACCCACATCGACGCTATCCCAACCTCGTAAACCATCATCTTCAACCTTAGCTACCTGATAAACAACCACCAGTCAAACTACCTCCATCAACAAAAACAACTGACAACCACCGACAACCTCAACAACACCACCGTTATGAACCTCAACACCAACAACAAATACAACCGACATCCACACATAATAAAAAAAAATTAAAAAAAACGCAATAACCTTAAAATATGAACAAGAATTGACAAAAAATATGAACAAGAATTCTCCCCCTATTTGCATATTCCAATTCAATTGCATAACCTCACTTACAGCTTCACCAGATTGATTTTTTGGGGAAAGAATCAGTTTTCTAGGTTATCTATTGAGTGTTTTGCTTCAAAAGATTAAAGAAGTGAAAGAGTAGGAACTGTGTTTAACGAATTAAGGGGTAATTCGTGTGGTGTAGCTTGATTCTTCGTTTGTGGGAATTAAATAATAAATTTCGTCACTTACCTGGCTTAATTTCGCTGAAAAGAATGGAGCTCGTTGCCTTCAGTGGAGATTTATTCGAAGGAGAAAGAAGATTAGAGGAGAGAGAGAGTGTGTGTAATTGAAGGGGAAAGGGGAAAAAATGAAAAGGGTGGTATTGAGTGAGCACGTGACTCGCACATGGTGGAGTCAATGCCCGGAAATCGGGTCAAACCTTCTTTTCGGCCAAAGGTGTGGCATTGCAAAAAAAAAATTATTAAGGTATGTCATTGCAAAAAAAAATTTATAAGGTGGTTACTTGCATAAAATGTCTTATAAAAGGTGGTTTTTTGCAAAATTTCCTAGATATTATAGATCCAAAGATTTCCAGATTGGATACATGTATCAGATATTGCAATTTTCGGATGTAGGATGCCAGATATCCGATTTTTGCTCAACTTTATTTGCGACATTGTTCCAAGATTATTTCTTTCTCTCATAGTCATGTTAAAATGTTGGGAAAGTCTTAACTCATTTAACAGTCAAATTAAGCCCCTTATAAAGTGTAAAATTGTGAATTCTTTCTAGCCAAGCATCTTTGATTTCTCTTAATCTCGTTTTCAGATTAAGAAAATAATCTCAGTCCTAATCTAATTAAAATGTAAAATAAAGAAAGACATTATATAAGGCCTTGTTTAGTTCAACTTATTTTTACTTATTTCAGAAAAAATAAGTTCAAATTAGATTAGATCAGAAAAAATAAGTTCAGATCAGATCAAATCAGAAAAAATAAGTTCAGATCAGATCATCGTTTTATGTGCAGTTCTTTATCGCTAAATTCTATAATTTCGTAATGAAAAAAATTATGAAAATTAGATATTAATAAAATACACATTATTACTAATCTAACATGTCCTCACTTGATATATTTTTATTTTATAGATTATCGTACACTTAAGGTCAAAGTTTGGTCAAATCAGACAATCAAATCAAATCGGATCAGAGCAGACCAGATCAGATAAGTTCAGATAAGCAAATATAAGGTGAACTAAACAGGGCCTAGTATTAAATGACCAAAACTACTCCTAATGGAATTTTTTTATTATTGTACTTGATAAATTAATATTGAGGCATCGACTCAATTAACATTTACTTATGGAGTTAATCCTTGTTTGGTTCACCTTTTTTTGCTTATCTGAACTTATCTGATCTGATCTTATTGTCTAATTTGACCAAACTTTAACCTTAAGTGTACGATAATCTGTAAGAAAAAAATATATCAAGTGATATCTTGTTAGATTCATAATAATGTGTATTTTATTAATATGTAATTTTCATAATTTTTTCATTACGAAATTAAAGATATTTAGCAATAAAATATTATACATAAAACAATGATCTAATCTGAATCTATTTTTTTTAATCTGATCTAATTTGATCTGATTTAAACTTATTTTTTTAAAATAAGTAAAAATAAATTAAATTAAACAAGGCCTTATAGTATACATAATACAAATATTTAAACAAAAAATTATACACCATAAAATGACCCAAAATGGAGTACTATATTGTCATTTGTTTGTTTAGAACATAAAAGAAAATGACAGAAAGCGGTGGTATGATGAGACCATTGATCGAAGCCATTCATTCCACTCCCACCAAAGCTGTTGTCTACATCGCCGGTGGCGCCGCTCACGTACACTTCTTCTCTGTCTCCTCCATTTTCCGCCATTAAAACACCTTCAATCATCTCTTACTTTTGTTTAAACTAATGAATTTTGGTCCTTATTTAGGCTGTTGGATGGTTGACTTCAATTCCAGGAGCTTCTAATACTCTTCTCGAAGCTGTAATTCCTTACTCTAGAATGTCCATGATCCAATTACTGGGCAAGGTTTGTTTCTTCTCTACTTAATTAATTCGCCATTTTTATTTTCAGGGTATTAAATTTTATTTTCTGGGTGTTAATTTTTACTTTCATTTATTTTTGGGTACAGATACCTGCACAATTTGCAGATTCGTCTACTGCGGAAGACATGGCGCTTGTGGCGTATAATCGCGCTTTGAAGATTTCGAAGCCTGGTAATTTTTCCTCTCTTTTAATTTCCTTCTAATTTTTGTACATTTTATTATTAGTAATTTTTGGGTATTGTAGTTGTTTAATGTTTCTGCTAATTCGAGTTACATTTCAGTATTTAGAATGTGATGCCATTTTTTTTTTGTTTGTTTTTTTTTTTTTTTTTTTGGGAAAAGATTGTGGGTATTTATAAACATCATTTAATGTGGAAAGTGTTGCTTGTAATTGCATTTTTTGTATCTAATTTGTTATATGTTATTGATATAGGATGTCCTGTTCTTGGTGTGGGTTTCACTGGTTCTTTGGCTACGAATCGCCTGAAACAGGGGGATCATAGGTACTATGCTTCAAATAATTTGTTGCTTAAATTCAATAATTTCCGGCATACGAGTATGTGTGCTATATGTTGTTGCTGTGGTTTCCATTGGTTTATGTGAGTTGGGTTAAGTGCATTTTTTCCGGTTTGTAATGTGAGCATAGACTACATTTAAAGAAGAGTCGTGTGTGATTCATAATATAACAATGTGTTTGGATAGAAAGAAATGGAGGGAAAGAGAGGGAAGAGAAAGGGAGGATATCATATGGAGGGAGGGAATGAGAGTGAATTGAAAATCCTTTTTCGTTCCCCTATAATAAGCCAAATCCTTTCAATATTGGAAAGATTTTGGAGCGAAAAGGAAGCTCACACACTCTCTCTCCTTTCCTTTCCTTCCTCCCTTCCCCTTACTCCATAATTGCTTTCCAAACAGTGTATAGCTTTAGTTTGTTAGCATGTGGTTTAAAAAGTTTCCATATTTACTAGTAATTATCTCATGGAATTGCTCAACTATAGTGTTTATGACCTGTTTGGTAACCGGTTATAAACATTGGTAATGGGAATGATTTTTTATGTAAATTTGGAAAGAAGATCAATGTTAATTCCCATGGTCACTAAAGATGACCCCAAATTGTCTAGTTTTTTTTCATGAATTTCCATTCCCACCTAATACCATCCTCCCTAATGGTAATGGATGCTAATGGAAAAACATGAACAAAACACAAGCTTGGGGAATGATATTATGTTTCCATTGAGATTATAGGTTGTTTACAATACTAAATAACATTTAAAATTCGTTTCCAATACCACATTTTATTAGGCCATTTAACCACATTGATATTAAAGTTAGCACATTAATTACACATTAGTATAAAAGTCATCTTAGGCGACAAATCAGTATAAAAGTTAACAGGTTGCGACAAATTGGTATAAAATCTAACCTTTTTTGACATTTAACCCTTTTTTTTTTCTTGCCGAAGTACTCGTCTATCATACAAGTACTTAATTTTTTAATCTTTTTATGTTCTTTCGTCGTTGCAAATATATAAAAATTAAGGTAAACACTACTTAATGAAGTAAAAAGATTATATGTTTGTCAATGTAGTGGCTTGGATAATGATAAGTGGTGCAAGTAGTGAATGCGAAAAGCTACAAATTTTAGCTTTTAAAGGAGAAAAGTAGCTTTTATAGTGTTTTCTAATTTATTATTTAAAAAAAACAAAATAATACAACTTTCATTTATTGAAACCTCTATTATCAAACGTTCATACTTTGGCTCTATGTGGTAGTTGGTTGATCTAACCGGTTGCATTAATTAGTTTGACTAGCCCGTTGCATTAGATGATTTAAATCATTTTTTACTTCCTCCATTTTTGATTAATCGCAAAAGGAGACATTACTTAAAGTTATAAGAATATTATAGGGTAGAGACCAAATGTGAGAATTTTATTATTTAAAGAAAAATTAGTGGGCATATATATAATTATTGGCGTGTGAGAGAAATGGTAAAAAATTAGTGCAAGTGGGGTGAGTGGGAAAGAGAAGTATTAAATTAGTAGTGCAAGTAGGGTTATTGGGGTAGAGAAATAATAAAATATTAGTGAGAAGTGTTGTAATTAACTAACTATGAATAAAAAAGAAACTTTTCCAATTAATCCGAAATATAGTGAGTACCATACACCAAAATAGCTTATGGCAATATTTTCTCAAAGGCTTCAAACAACTCTAACAAAAAAATTGGGTTTAAGCACTTTTTCATACCAGGTTATTAAACTCCAATAAGCCCACATTATTATCTATATTCCAAACACAAAAAATAGTTGATTAGAGTCTAATCGATCCTGAAAAGCTATCAATCACCTCTTTACATCAAGACCTACAGTTTTAGACAAGTAAACACTAGTTCCACAACTAACATCTAACAGTCACTCCCACAACTACTTTAGGCAAAACAAGGCCTAAATGATCTCCTAAACATGAGCATGGGCCTTTTTTTTTTTTTTTTTTTTGTTTTTTTTTTTGGGGGGTGGGGGGGCGCTAAACTCTAATGGCTCTTACTTTACATTGAAAGCCGGGAATGCTCCATATAATTTATTGTAACTCCGATATATGACATGTTGGAAGAGTGACGAGTATAGTTTAATGTTAATGTGGTAATGGGAAAACAATTCATTGTAGAATATGGGATAATAAGTGCAAGATCTCCAAACTACATAACTAACAAAAAGGAGCTAATTTATTTATCTAATACTCCCTCCATCTCTAAAAGCTCTTTCTGTTTTGACAGTGATTCTCACAAAAAAAATGTCAAAACAGGAAGAACTTTTAGAGACGGAAGGAGTATTATTTAGTGAATACAGCCCATCCTTGCCCAATTAATTTATGCTGTGAATAACTTATGTGTAATATCTAATATCAACGTGATAATAAAGCTCAATGTTGTCCTTATTGATGGTAGGAGCTCAAAACATTCGACGATAAGTGAATTTTTACTTTTTATATTGGGTATTGGTTCCTGGCATTTGCAAATTGAAAGGCTATTCAAATTTTATTATTAATTCTCTTGTTTTAAGCGGATGTCACAACATATATAACAATTTCTGTTGTTTTTCCTAATTGGAAAGTTCTCAAAAGTTGATGCTCTATTGTAGCTTTGTTGGCCTTTAGCAGTTGGGTGAATATTTTTGAGCTAGCAAAGAGGCTAGCAGTTTGCAAAATAATTGAACTGGCAAGTACTAGTTACTTGTGTGTAATCTATGATGCATTATAAGAGCATAGGACGTGCAAGACGTGCACAATACTATTCACCTGTAGATTAAATTTGTCTTTTGCATAATACTCCGTATTTTGCAAATGTGATTGAATCTAATACGTAATTTACCAAATACTTCGTATATGAAAAAATTGTACTACGCAAATGATCTCTGTTATCAAGGTAAACATCATTAAGTTGAAAGCTTGTGATGGATTGTCCCTCAAAGGCACGCAGTGGACTTGGTAGTAATATTTCAATGGCAATAATAATGTTATTAATTCTTCCCTTCTTCCTAGTGGAGTGGATGGTGGACCTTAGGATTTGGGATGATATCTTTTACCCATGTCAAGCCTAGGTCTGTGCAGTTTAGCTTCTAGTTTTATAATTTATGTTAATATCTTAGATGTGGTCGCATGTCTATTGTTAATTACAAAAGGTAAAACTTGTGCTAGGTTGTACCTACTGTAATTCACATAGAATATTCTTGACATACTTAGTTATTTGTCAGACACAGACCAGTAGATAATTGTTTTGTGATTGACAATGATACTTTGTGATTACATTGTACAATATCAACTATGAGTCAATGATGACTCAGCTTAGACTGATTTGACATATTAAGTCTTTGCCAATTTCATGCTGCCTGTGTATTGTTCTTATGTTGACTTGTTAAGTGGAGTTGGGTTCATTTATAGTAATGATATTTGCTACTTTTCTTTTCCCAGCCTGGCTTATTATCCTCTCTGTCTATTATACCAACATTGGTCAATGAAATCTTTAAAAGTTTTTTTCACCATGGGTTTATCACCTTCTAGGTGCTGACAAAGTCAGTCCCAATTTTTATCACAGTGATATACTGCAAGTAAATGCCATGTGTACTCGAATTCGTTGATTAAATTGGGTCATGTATACATTGTGCATGACTTCAAATGCTTTCAAGGTATAGCATGGCCTTATTGACTGTAACCATTCTTATGCTGTTTTCCTTGATGTCTGCAAGGTTTCACATGTGCATCAGAACATCCAATCGTCTTTGGCTTTCTACTGTCACCTTGTCAAAGGTATATACTTTATTTTTTAGTCTGCTGCTGGAGTGAAATCCTCCAAAGTGTATTTGTATATTCTTAGGGAGTCACTCCTGATTCAGTTTTATTTCAGTCCACCTTCCAGTTAAGTACGGTTAAATAACTCTTCCTAATTTCTGCAGGGACTTCGCACGCGAGAAGAAGAGGAAATTCTTTCAAGTCAGTTTTTGCTCAAGGTACTTGGTAAATTTCAAATAAGAAGAAAGCTCCGTTATTTTGTTATACAATCCTTTCAGCGTGAATAAATTAGAGATTTCTCTTCAGATTCTTAAGAATTAGAGGTTGTCTTAAGTTAGGAGCTCTATTTATCGTTTGTACAATTGTACATTAGCATGTTGGTTAACGGTAGCATCCATTTGGTGTGCTTACAAGGCAACTTGCCTCTTATTGCACTTCTGTGCTTTTGTTGAATAAGGCACCTTGCTGGGATATTATTGTAATGTATCATTCTATTTGCCTCAATGGATGTTAGCAAAATGCAGGGTTTTTTTATTTTTTTTTTTATTTTTTTTATTTTTTTGTATTTTTAGTGTGGTTTTTACCTGTTAGTTTCCCACCTTGCTGAAGTGGTAGTTCTCATGTCAAGAAAAAACAGTCAAGTATCACCTGATGTAGAGCCAATATGGCTAACTCAAGACCATTTTGTGCCTATTGGAAGTTGATACAACCGACAAACCTGTGGCTTCAAGCATGACTCGATACGTGTCACAGTGGTAAAGTATGTTAATGTGATGTGTAACCGTCACTTTTGATTTGGTTGCAAATCTTGATTTGTAACCTTGAGTACACAACTGCACATGCATATCATTAAAGGAGTGTCCGGGCTAGTATTTAGAACACTCTTAGTCAGCTTTATAAGTGTAAAGGCTGAAAGTTTGTTATCATATATATATTTTTTTTCCTGATTGTTCTTTAATAAGTGATGAAGAAATATATTGGTATCAAATGTCCAATGGGGTCATAGGGTGTCATCCATGTAAAAGGGATGGTTAAAGAAAACAATATCACATCCTTTTTATAGCCAGGGTGAAGGGCATAATGGACTGTTATTTAGTTGGCGACAAAAGCCATAATGCTTTTGGGTGTTCTTCACCAGTAACTATTTTGGAATGAAGAAATTTTAAGTTCTAAATGTACTTATGTATACATTATCTGCTTTTATCTTTTCGAAATAATTAGTAAAAGTGATATCTATACTCTACCATGGCATATCCTTGGAAGTCTTGTAGATTTATATGTATTTGGATCTTCAAAGGATGTATTACCTTCAGTCTAAGGGTGTCCAAAAGATGCATTATCAATCAAATAATGATGTTTACAAAGGATTTTCCACTTCTTTTGCTTGCTCTATTTTGTTGTAGTTGTAAATTATAAAAAATATATAATCCTATCTATCAAATGCATTGTAGTGCTGCACTTGTGCTCTCTCATTGAAGATCTTCATAATCTTTTAGCTCAGATTATTTTCTGGGCATTGACCTCTTTGTTTACTGACAGGCAATTGCTGGTGCAAGTAAAGCTCCAGTAGATTTCACTCCAGCATTGAATGAATTGGATATTTCTACAGAAAGGGAAAGTTTGTTTAGTGAAGATGAGGAGTTAGAACAGCTTTTGAATGGACAAATATGTTTTAAGGTGTATGATTTTACAAGTGGTATGTCACCCCTGGTTGATTAAAGGTGCATTTTGTGCAATCTGTTTAAATATTGTTCTTCTGTGTTCTTAGTGTATAGTATTTACTCATAATTGTTTCAGAGGAACAGGCCTTAAGTGCAGAAAGAAAGATTATACTTCCTGGTTCATTCAATCCATTACATGAAGGTCATCTCCAGCTCATGGAAGTCGCAAGCAGGTAGATATCATGTAGCTGGATTGTGAATATTGGTGTCTTGCTCGCTAAATCCTTGTCTAGTCTCTTTTGACATCCATAATCCAGTGTATGGTGCTTTCTGTTCAATTCCTTATTTGATTTTTTGTTTACGGTGTTGGGGAATATGGATTATATAAAACGTATCGATATAAATGAAATATAGGGGCAAAGTTGAGCAAATTTAACATTCATTGCAAAAGTTGTTATCTGGTCCTTACTATAGTCGGTAGATCTTTGACCCTTTGGAGGTGTTAAAATCAGTGAAAGGCTGTCCTCTGCATAGATTAAACTGGATTCAGCTTATTATTTGTATGATTTTATGGATTTATTTTCCAAACAATTCATTTGAGAAATCCAATATTTTTAAAATTAAATTGGTCAGTTCCAAAACTTCCAATCATGAATTCATGATCTAATTGATCCACCGAATGGCCTTTCTGATTGAATTAGTTGGATTCGAAATTGTTGTGATTCAACCGTGTGAGTTTACTCCTAATGGAATAATGAATGCAGCTAGTTCTTTGAGTCGATTTGGGTGTTGTGAAGTTGATTTGTTTTAGTAAATTGTATGCTAATTCTTTGTCTTGTTATTTAAGCTTTTCATTCAAATTCATCTTAAGGTTCTTTCTTCTGTTTCTTTAAAATGTATTCATATGCAGCCTTTTGGGGAATGGATATCCATGCTTTGAGCTTTCGGCAGTCAATGCTGACAAACCGCCTCTAACAATATCTCAGATCAAGGATCGCGTTAAGCAATTTGAGATGGCCGGTGAGAGTTGAATGGTGCTATGTCTTTATGTTATGGGGTTTATTGCCGATGGTTCCATTTTCATGCTATGAATTGTTAGATGTCCAACAAAGTAATGTTTTATTGGCAACGTATCTAGTCAATATAGTAGGCGTAACCTTGGAGAAAATATTGTCATGAGAAATATAATTTTTTTTGTATGTGTCTGTGTTGTGTGTATTTATTGTCTTTTGCCTTGTCATTTTTAGTCAATTAAGGTCTTGTTTGATATCAGTGTCAAAGTTTTATAGTGATTTAATGTTAGTCCTACTTAATACTTAAACTAGTCATGTTAATTTTGAAATTTACAACAAAGCAATGAAAACCTTATAATGTACTAGATGTTTTTTATATACTTGCTTTTAGTTTTTTGAAAAATACAAATGTCAACTAGCAATGCTAATGAACAACCCTAAATTTGTGTCACATACTAGTCTTACTCCCTCAGTTTCCTACATTGCATAGATTTAGGTTTAGTCTCTTTAAATAGCAACTGTAGTCTATAGATGCCGCCCCGGGGGGGTGGGGGGCGCTCCACATTGTCATCTCCCTATTGTGCATTATAGGATGAGTGATGCTAATGCTTAGCGTTTATATTTTTTCCCCAAGAGAAAGCACCCATAAAGGACAGCATCCCGTGTCCAGCGGTGTTATTCAAAATATCGCTTTGTAACTATAGTGATTAACTTTTCTATCCTGTATTCTCCAAATGGTTGTTAGCTGTGTGATTGTTGTGTATCCATTACTTGTGACTATTACTGTTCTACTAACGAGTAGTTGTTTTGACAGGTAAAACGATAATAATATCAAACCAGCCCTACTTCTATAAAAAGGCTGAACTTTTCCCTGGGAGTGCTTTTGTAATAGGTGCTGATACTGTGGTTAGGCTTATAGATGTAAGATATCTTTCTATACTTAAAAAAATATATGAAAATTCCTTCCATTTGAGCATTCCATATTTCATTACTGTATTCTTGGTTGAATATAATTTGTATGGGTGGGGGGTTGTATACACACTTGGGTTGAGTTACTTAGGATTACACTTTAAGTAATCGGAAGATTCTTTGTGGTAATTTCAAGAAGGAATACAAAAAGATAATATGTGGATGGAGGTAGTAAGATTCATATATCATTTTACGAATAAATTCTGATGAGTTGCTGATGTCTGATGGCTAAATTTACCAAACCCAAAGTGTTGACTATATTGTTAGGTTCCAAAAAAATCATCATTTTTTAGAAGTTGCTAATATTCGAGTTCTTGTTAATCGAGACTTGCGAAGTTGCTAGTATGATAAAGTTATTCCTTGTGATGATCATATGATGTCCATGGAATACTGTTTTTGTCAAATTTATGTTCTTTTAGAGGACTGATATAGTGATATTACTGAATACTCCTACTTCTAGTGATTTTGGGGCTAAAGCTTTTTATTTTTTTTTATTTTTTTTTTTTGAGACTGTAAAAAAAAGAAACATTAGGAAGCCCTCCTTGCGAAGATAGTTCCTAATGTAACTTAGATTTTGCTACTGGTGTCCAATACAGGTACATATGTTGGTGTCATATATGGCTATTTCATGCTAATTGTGATGAATTTTGGTTCATATATAAGTGTTGAGTGTCCATTAACATGTTGGGGTATTGAATATCCGACATGGGCACTAGATATTATGTAAAGAGTATGAGCAACATAGGCTGTATGTATGATTTTGTGCTTTGAATGTAACCCATGCCTGCATTGATGTTGTATATACATCAATGTGTCATTACGACAGTGGTTAGCTGTTAGTCTCACCTCAGATCTTTCCACAGGCCATGTATGAGTTAAGATGGCTTACAAGTGTTGGAAATAATTCAGTTTTCTGTTTTCCTTTTGTTGCGTTTGCAACCAATGTTTATGCTAAATAATTCTCTGCTTAAATTGGCTCATGAACCATCCTGTGCTTCTTGAAATAAAAAGTCGACATACTATTGGAACTTAAAAGATGTCATAATTGTTCTAGCATTCTTCATCATTCTGTGTAAATTTGGAATTTAATCTTGGTGAATTATGTCATACTTGTTTTATAGGAGTATGTTTTATCATTCTGTATCCCATAGTACTATACATAATTTTTTTTCTCTTTTATTAGAGCAGTTTTTTTCCTACTATATTAGTAAATTTGTACAATTTTTTAATCTCATGTATATTTCCTTTGATGATTTTTTGGGTGAGAGACAAAAAAAAAAAAAAAATAAAGAAATAAAAAAAATCACTAGAACAAACATCGGCATTGCCTTCAGTCCCCTCATATTCAAAATCCTGGTTCTATCATTGTCTCTCAGTTAGGGGACGCTTGCATAATTCTGATCCCCTTTCCTTGGGTGCCTGGGTGGTAGCCTGTTTTATCTTAAGAGGTTTTTGGGTAATGTTTAATGTCACTTGCCAATTGAACAAGATTTCTTTTCACACATGCATATGTTTTGTGCATGCCTGATACATCATATATTGCAAATTTACGTACTGCATACAGAACCCATTCAGTCTTTATATTCCTCACACAGGATTTTTTTTATTTTTTTGTATACGGTAAGATACGGGGTGGGGCCCCCACCCTATCACAGGAATGGGGGGGCTGGGTGAGGAATCGAACCCCCATCACTTGGGGGGTGATGGAGGGACTGACCATCCCTCCACCTCTTCATTCCTCATATTCCTCACATAGATACTTGTGCTTTTATTGCGTTTCTGCTTTTTAATGGCTTCTGGTTGAAATGGGAACATCCCTTGATGCTTCAACTTACTTAATCTATTTTGTAACCTCACAGCCAAAGTACTATGATGGAAGTTATAACAGAATGATAGAGGTACTCCTTAAATGCAAAAATACTGGGTGCACCTTCATTGTTGGTGGCAGAAATGTGGATGGTGTTTTCAAGGTATTTCATTCTTCTGATGCAGGATGTGTCTATTGTTTGTCATATCGTAATCTCTTATTGCAGTCCATACATATGATTACTTAAGTGCTGTGGCATACATTTCTGCAGGTTCTTGAAGATATTGATGTTCCTGATGTTCTAAAAGACATGTTCATCCCTATACCAGCTGATAAATTTCGGATGGACATATCCTCAACAGAGCTTAGAAAAAGAGGAATGTGACTGCCAATTTCATTGTCATGAAAAAAGATTGCTGTTTATTTCTAGTGTATAGAATGTTAATAAACTCGGGGATGATTGGCATTTGTACAGAATATAAAGCATAGAAACTCTATTTTTAAAGAGTTATTTTTTCTCTTTAGGATTATATAGTTTCTTCTTTAAGTTCAACACAACAGGCTGTTTGCAGTATGGAACAGTTCAGAAGACACGGGCTGGATTCATTAAGGTCCATAGCTAGGACTTAATTTTTTTTTTCTTTTCAGATTGGGTCAGTTGGAATGGATGGAACAAACTATTGTATACTACTACAAATGTATGAGTTTAATTGAGAAAATATACTTCGTCCAGTTGTTACTTCGTATTAGAATAAGGGATATATTGCTTAGACTTTTTACGATATTTATATTCTGACACTGATCACTTTTATTTACTAAAAACAGTGATAAGAATTATTATTTGATTATTAAACTATTAAAATTTATAATTTTAGTAGTAATATATAATTAAGATATAGATGGTCAAAACAATGTAAAAAGTCAAAGTGATACAATGGGAACAATTCTTTGTACAGTACTTTGTATCGATTAGTAATGAGTTGTTTATAAGAATTGGATTTAAGTCAAATCTTATACAAGACGGATTTTAACTTTTAAATTGGGTTAGTTTTCAAATTGGATTGTTTTCATTTGGATCGGGTTAGAATTGAATCGGATTTAAACCAAGAAACTAATGAAGAATTGTCTTATTGTTAATCCTGTCAACAATAACATTCATGATGACTTGTAAAACACATGATATGGATAATTGGACTGACCTGAAGCATATTAAGGTTTTATCAAAGAAAATTCAAACAAAAATCACAGGAATAAATTACATTAAATTTTTCCAATTTTATTCCATGAACAAGTTTTTTTCCAAATAGTAAATAGTACATCGTACAAGAATAATCACTGTATCAATGAGCAACCTCTCACAATTACAAAAGAAAGGAAGCTACTATACTGTAATTTTTTTTCTTTGTACTTCGTATAGTTACAACAGTAAGACTGGATTCAGCCTCCACAACCACCACCGCAAGCAGCCGCGCAACCAGTACCGTGCTCGACATGCGTAACGCTGTCTTTATCACTAGACGCACCATCTGCACAAGTGAAGATGATCAAAACAGCTGCTGAAAGAAGAGAGAAAGTGATGAAACAAATCCACCACCAGCTGCTGAGTTGGTACACATTAATCTCTCTTGTCATATTATTATCCTAATTAATCTAATTTCTTGTTGTTAGTTTTAATTTGTGGGTTGTTAACTTGTTAAACAGTTGCCCTTATCCCGTTTAATTAGTGGGATTGTCATTTTATTCCGTTGACTTTTTCAAAATGGTGTGCTGCCTACCCTACTTTTTTAAGCTTCCTCTAATAAAAATCTTCCTCTGACATGTTTATTAAGCATCACTTCTTTTTTAATTAGGTGATTGCAAAAGCCCTTAATTTCTTTATTAGTGATGCACATGATCTTTGAATACTTTAAATGGTTTATAATCTTATATATGTGCTCTAGTCTGTTTTCTTACATAAACTTCGCATGCAATTGAACGAACCTCATTTGGTGTACATGTGAACTTTCCCGAATTAGTCGAATAGCATGTTGGATTTGAGATGGATCAACATCCTTGAACTTGTAGTAAAGAGTATAAACTATATATCCTTTTGTCTTTTTCTTACCTGGGTGGCCTATAGACGTAGATATTTGGAAACTTCTCCGTTAATCAATTATTGAGATTATTTCTATTACAACTAAATCTTTGAATACAGAGAAATATGATCAACTAACTTGTCATTGTAAGTTAACACTACGTACTAAATACATTCTCCTCAAAAAAAAAAAAAAAAAAAAAAGAGAGAGAGAGATAAGTAATTGCTATTCTTCTGCAAATAATCAAGAGACTCAGTTATATATTATTATAATCAACTTGTCGTAGAATAACTTTAACCTATCGAGTAGTAGTACAGTGAGGTTTCAAAAACAATAAAAAAAAAAAAAGGATTAATACTGTTTTTTAATCCCAACTTTTACCAATTTAGTTTCATTAATCCCAACTTTGAATTATTTTTCAATAATCCCAACTTTAAGGTGGCTTATCATTCTTCATACCCAAATCGGTCAACAAAAGTCAACAACCTTCTATTGTAGTTTGCTGGACACGTTTCGCCACGTGAGTAGTCCAATTTTTTTTTTTATTTTTTTTTTTTGACTGAACCAAATTTTTTTTACCCAAACCAAAAAAAAAAAAAACAGCCCCTCCCCCTCCACCTCCATTAATGACAGCCGGCCAGCCACCATCCCCTCCATTTCCGACAGTTCCCCCATCCCCTCCATTTCCAACAACCCTCCTTCCCCTCCGTTTCCGGCCACCATTCCACTTCCCCTTGAAAAGCGAAAAGGGGATTGTGAGATTGAGTTTGAAAACTCAAATCTAATGCAAAATTGGGGGTAACGAGAGGTGAATTGAAGAGGATTTCGACTGGTGGAGTGGGTTTGTGGTGACTTTGCGGGGTGGGTGGGATGGGTTTTGGTGGTTATGGTGGGGTTTTTGATAGGTAAGAGATGGGTTATTGGATCTTGATGGTAGTGGGGTGGGTCAATATGTTGATTTCGTAGGTTGGTAAGTTGGTTTCAATGGTTGGTTCGCTGGTTGTATGGTGGTTTCGATGGTTGTGGTTGTTGCTTGCGGTTGTTGTTGGTGGTGCAGTGGGTAGTGGTGGTGGTGCAGTGGGTGGTAATCATGGGTGGGTGAAGCTTCTTAATTATTTCTTAATCACATGCCTGTACTCTCGCTAATTAACTTCTTCAATTTTTGGGGCCAGTGGTTTTTGGGGTTTGGTTGGTGGCGTGGGAGTTTCGGTGAAGGGGGCTGGTGGTTTTTGGGGTTTGGTTGGTGGCGTGGGAGTTTCGGTGAAGATTCTGGTGGTTTTTGGGGTTTGGTTGGTGCGTGGGAGTTTCGGTGAAGGGGGATGGTGTTTGGCTCGAAGCGGCGACTCTAGTGGTGGGGAGGGCCGGCGGTCCGACGAGGGAGGTGGCTGGCTGGCGAGTTACCGGATTTTTTAGGGTGGTTGGGGTTTTGGCTGGGTGGTTTTATATTTTTTAATTTGGTTTTATTTTTTTTAAAGCAATTAACATGTGACACGTGTTAAATAATTTTTTAAATTTTTTTTTTAACCCATTTAACAGGTAATCAGTTTTTGGGATTGAAGAATGATATGCCACCTTAAAGTTGGGATTATTGAGGAATAATCCAAAGTTGGGATTAATGAAACTAAATTGGTGAAAGTTGGGATTAAAAAACAATATTTATCCAGGAAAAAAAATAATTTGCTAAAAAGATCAATAGTTATATTATCACTAGAGCAGTCAACGCGCGCGATGCGCGTGAAGTGGCTTGCCCTTTCTTAATGTTTTTATTGTGTTGTGTTTAAACTCTTCACAACATTGGGTTTTTAGGGAAAATAGTTTGGTAAATTAATAAAATGTGTATATTGGGTTGTGAACAATATTGGGATTTTAGGGAAAATAGTTTGGTAAATTAATGAAATGTGTATATTAGATTGTGAACAACATTTGGTTTTTAGGGAAAATAATTTGGTAAATTAATGGAATATGTATATTGGGTTGTGTTTAAACTTTTCGTTTTTCTCTGTACATCAGTCCATCAGCTGTTTACAACTTTTTCCTCAGAAAACATCTATGCAATTATTCAACAGTGCAATATTGCAAAAACATCTACAAACTTATTTAGAAATAGATTAAATATAATTCAAAAATCATAGAGTACATATTATATACTAACATAAGGTAATTCAACATTGCATATGCATATAATAATGGTAAGGTTTTCTGGAACATTTACTATTTGCAAGTATATACTCTCACCCAACCTAGTAATTACTCTACACAAATTACTTCTGCTAGTGGCTCAACTTATTTTATTGTATTTATCTAGAAAAATTTGATTCTAATAATCCAACATTTGAGCTGTCTTTTTTGTATTAATCCGACTTTTTGATTATTTTACAATAATCCAAGCTTTAGGGGGTGTTCTATTCTATTAGGCCAAGCAGGTCACTTAACCTACAAGAATAAGTCACTTGCCACGTGTCGCATTTTCATTTGTCCAACTTTTTTTGATTTTTTAAAAAAAATAGAATTTAAAACAAAAACTTTTTTTTTCCTTTTTATTTTCCCCTTTCCTTTTCATCTTCTACCTCCCTTCCACCACACCTCCATGAATGGCTTCCATTTCCAGCCAGAGCTCCGCCCACCACACCTCCACCTACGGCAGCAAGAAACCCCACCCCACCAGCCACCACCCTGGTCGAAACCCAGGAACACGACACCAAACCACCTCTGTTCGTTGAAACCTGACCCTTGAACCCAGAAACCCCCACCCACCATCACGCGAACCAAAAACACATCCATCCTCCCCCAAAACCTTGCTCAAAACCATCGAAAACCCCTACCTACCGCCGATTTTTTTGTTTCAGGGTGTTTGGAATGGTTTTCGTAGCGAATCTTGTGGGTGTCGGGACGAATTTTGCCAAAAACCATTGAAAACCCGACCCTCTTCCCTGTTTCTCTCTCTGTTTCAATTCCCTCCATTTGCAAGAAATCTTCGATCTTCAAAACTCTAGGTTTTACCCCCAATTTGATTAGAGTTTTGCAATATCAAGAATGGAACTTCCTTAAGAACTCAATGATTTCATCAAAAATTCAATCGATCATACTATGGGACTTGATTTGGAATTCTGGGTTTTGATTTGGAATTCGGATTTTTGTAGGGTGAGGCATGGCTGGGGGGAGGGCTAGCCAGAATGGTTGAAAGAAAGGGGAAGGGGGAGAGGTTGGCCGGAAAAGGGAGGTCAGAAGCGGGGTTGCCGGAAGGGGATTCAGGCTGCCGGAATTAATGGGGGGGAAGGGAAGGGTTGATATTCATTTTTTTTTTTTTTAATTCATTTTCAATTTTTCTAACTTAAAAAAAAATTGAAAATGAAAAAAAAAAAAAAAAAAAAAAACCCTGAAAACCGGTAGCAGGTCACCTTGGCCTAATAGAATAGAACACCCCCCAAAGCTTGAATTATTGTGGAATAATCAAAATGTCGGATTAATAAAATAAAACCGCTCAAAGGTTGGATTATTAGAATCAAATTTTCCTTTTATCTAAACAACTAAACCTAGGACATAAGGACAATACTCTTAACAATGGAACTAATTACTTCTGCAAGTGTTTGCAACATACCGGCCAATGCAACTTTGCTTTATGACATTAAGTTTGTGAATATATACACGGGAAATAGATCAAAGTGACCACAAATTTGCTTTAGTGCTCGCTTGATCATACTTGATTTGATGCACCAAGTGATTTTAGTCCAAGTGAGCTCCTCTCCTCACTCTAATAAATTTCTTTTAATTTGATCTTAAAAAGAAAAGAGTCTCCTATAGAATGGAAAACATCATTTATATGATTGTGTGGTTGGTTCTGGTCGCGGCGGAGTTGGAGCTGGAGTGTTGTTATTGTTGTTTCAGGAAGTAGTCGAAGTAGGGAATTGTTCTTTGGGCCGGAGTACGGAAAAATGAGGCGCCGGTGACCGGTGACCCACCTCCCAGATTTTCCGCCCGCCCTCTTCCACCGCCTCCCTCTCTCCCCTCTCCCCTCTCGAGGATTTCCTGGGCCCCTTCCTCAGTGTTGCCATTTCCAGCCCGTCGACCGCGAAAAGGTCCTTCCTTGTCATTTATTCTAATTCTCGCTATTTGTAGGATTAATTCTTGCTATTGTCAACTTTCTTGACCCAATTTAATTTGTATTTGGGATTGTGGAAAGATGGTGAACAGCCAAAACAGAGAAATGGCGACACAGAGATGGAGAGGAGAGAGAAAGCTCAACACTCATTACATCTATACACGTGGAAAAGCTTGAATGTAAGAGATTACAAATGGGGGTAAGAACGTAAACAAACATTTTGAAGGGCATGTAGGTCCGTACACTATTCATAAGCGCAATCTCCTACTTGTTATAAGGTAGGGATCTACCTTTCAAGATCATAAGAATCATGACTTTGTTGATTGTCATAAGCTTTATTAGCCCCTTTCGGTTCTAGCTAGGAAATGAAGTTGCGTAGCTATGGATAGGAGAAAAGGGAATTTTAGTGAAAATATCAGCCAACTATTACGTATATTGAAAATTCTATAATAGTCATCCTTAAAATGACTATAATTATATTAATTTTTTTTTTGAAAAAAACTATAATTATATTAATTTTTTATTGGTTAATTTTTAGTTTTTATGTCAAAATTAATTATAAATGTTTTTTTTTCTTATTATTTTTATTAGATTTTCATAATTAATTTAATGAATTATTTTTTAATTTCAATAATAATAAAAACTGAATTTTGTAAATTAATCAGAAAAATTAAAAAAAATTAAAAATTATTTCAAAATTAATGAATGATTTTTATAAAAATTAGATAAATGATTTATAATAGAATTTTGATATTAAAAAATAAATCAAAATCAAGCAATAAAAATTTAGTTGTTGCAAAATATAATAATTGTGTATGCCCATTATGGCTTGTAACTCCCTCAATATTATGACTCTCTTTGTAACCTCGTTTGTGACCCCCATATACCTTTAGTCCACATTGTAACCCCCACATGAATGGACTCTTTATTGTCCATATAGGTTACATATTCTCATCATGTATATATATGAGATGGTCTAATATAATGAAATGAAACAACAACACATTACAATCTATATCTTTCTCCAATATTCTCTCTTTCTATATTCCTTATTTTTTAACACGTTATCAGCACCATTGCTTTAGTTATCGAAAATCGGAGGAAACATTAATCAAACAATATAACAAGCTAAGGAGGATCATATTGCTGGTTGCACCATCCTTAATTAATCGAGTTAACGAAATATACACTTCGTACACAAAATATATATATATATATATATATATATATATATAATTTTTTTTTTTGTCCAGTTGAGGTAAGTGTAATTACCTTCACTTCAAATTGATTAAGCTATTTTATTCCAATAGATTATTTTATCATGGATAAATATTTCGTTGATTACAATCATGAAATTTTGGTTTTTGTTTGTTAGTGCTAAATTACATCTATTGTTTGTTAATTGTTTGGTATCACATGAGTTGAAATCTACTACCATGTATTACGGTTAATTGTTTCGTTAATTGTTTGTTAAGTGTAATTTACTACCATGGTTCTTTTGTTTCGTGTATTACGGTTTGGCATACTTTGTTACGACATATCAATATATCTTGATAATAGTTGACATATTGATGCTTAAAGTTTAGATGTAGTATACATGTCTTTGATCATATGTATATAAAACATACTTTATTTGTTTTTCTTTGTTACGACATACTGTCTCGATGATTATTGGAGTATGCGTAGTATGTAATGATATACCATTATTAAAATCTTGATAAATGTCAATTTAATTAGTTTAAGTGAGCATGAAATATTTAAATTTCAATTATACGAGTTTCAATTATACGAGTATTATAATTCATTGAAATTTGCCCGATCATAGAATATGCTATATGAATATTTTATCTAAATTTATTCTTATATAAGCAATTTGTTTTGTGAATGCTTATATTCTTTTTACACCAAATAACTATGGAGTATGTTTCTTTTATAAGATCTAATTTTGAATATTATTTTATACAGAGAAAATGATGAGCCTTGTCAAATTTGAATTCGTGGCCCTTGATATTACTGGAAAGAATTATTTGTCATGGGTGTTAGATGTTAAAATACACCTAGAGCTAAACGGCTTGGTGAAACATTCAAAGAGGCTAATGAGGCAACACCTCAAGATAAGGCTAAAGCCATTATTTTTCTTCACCATCACCTCCATGAAGGGCTAAAAATAAATATTTAACTATGAAAGACCCACAAATCCTTTGGAGTAATCTATAGGAAAGGTATGACCACTAAAAAACAATGATACTTCCTAGAGCTCGGTATGATTGGTTGAATTTGAGATTGCAAGAATTTAAATCTGTTAGTGAATATAACTCAGTTGTGTTCAAAATAACTTCTCAATTGAAATTATGTGGAGAAAATATTACTGATGCAGAAATTTTTGAAAAGACATACACCACTTTCCATGCAAATAATATTGTCCTACAGACACAATATAGAGAAAAAGGTTTGCAAAAATATTCTGAATTAATGTCTTGTCTTCTTGTAGCTGAGCAAAATAATGAGCTGTTAATGAAAAATCATAAGTCACGTCCTACTGGCTCTACTCCATTCTCTGAAGCGACTGTGACAACCCATAACAGGAAAGAAACTAAAAACAGAGACCATTCTAGCAGTAGTGGTCGAGGTAGAGGTCGAGGTCGCGATCTTGGCCAATGGCGCGACCGGGGTCGTGGGCGTGGATATGGTAGAGGTCGTGGAGGTCATTTCACAAACTCACATTCCCACCAAAAGTGGGAATGCATAGATGATAAAGTTGAGAAAGAGAAAAGTGAGACCAATTGTAGGTGTCATTTGAAGCGCGCTTACGTTAAGCATGTTGTGAATATGCTTGGCACTCATAGGAATGGGAATTGACATACAATTAGAGACACAATTAGGGACAAAGCAAAGTAGGGAGCCGCCAACAAGTTTTTAAGGAACTTGTAAACCGTTCACGGATCATTACAAGACAACCACGCTAAGGGACAACGAAAGACAACAACGATTGACCTGTGTAGGTTACACCCCATTCATAATTCATGAGATTACTAACTCCATATGGTTCGGAACCACGAAAGGAGGATCGGGGATGATGGTACGAAGTGAGTCATGGAGTCACATTCCTCGTATTGGCCTCTACTCGATTCTTATCGTGAAAAGTATTCCTGCAATCTCAAAGGCACACAAACAAAGATTCAATTTGCTCCAAACTATTATTAGGCTAAATTGGTTGAATGTTAATGCAACACATAATTCTAAATATTAGTGATCACTTCAATTAACATTAAGATTAAAAAGGAACCTAAACCGGTCGTCCAAATTATCTTATTAGGCATTATATTCAATTACATATTCCCTTTAAACATGCAATATGGTGATCAATACAATAATAATAGAACCATCATTAACATTGGGAGCAATTCAGCCATAATAACGTTAGTAAAATCAAATCATAATAATAACCCTAATCATGATACTAGCAATACAAAATAAAATAAGTAATTAAATTAATTAATTACTCACGTTCCGTACGCTCCTTTAAATTGCTACATCATGAATAAATTGTTAGTAACTTCAATAAAAATAAATAATAAAGGAAATTAAATTAAATAAAAGTAGAGTTGATTTGGGGCCAAACCCTCAAACAATTCTACCTTTCATGCCTTGGTTTAAGTTTAGAACCTCAAATAAAGTACGGACTCCGGGGAGTGCTTATGGGATGTATTGTTGAAGAATAGGGAAGGCTAGTGTTTAGGTTAGAGCATAAGAGAGAAAGAGAGAATTATTTGGTGTATAAGAGGGAAAGAGAGAATTGTTTGGCGCCCCGAAACTGAGAAATCAACCTCGTATTTATAGAGAAAATATGAAGAGTGAAGAACGGAACCCTAGAATTGAAGCGCCGCGAAAGAATTAAACCTAAAAATTGTCGTGACGAGGCAAATGTTTCCCTGGCGCGGCAGAAATTGCCGTGTCGCGGCATTTTGGTTTTCTGGAAAATCGTCTAGGTTCATTTTTATCTTTAAATTTCCGTTAAGCACGTGATAAATTAGGTGTCGTTTCAGAGTTACGGACTTATTTCAGGCTTAGGGTTTTTTATTTATTAATCAGGCTTAATTAATAAATAACACGAAATGAATTAAAAAGGGTTTAGGCTGTGTTTGACTACATGTTTGGACTGATTTGTGGACTGAATATGTTTATTGTGTTTGACTGAATGTGGATTTTTAAGCACTCCCAAAATTAAATACTTGACCCAACCAATAATGGCGGTGAAAGGTGTTTCATCATCGGGTTTAGTTTTGGGGAGACATTTTTAGGTGTCTACAGAAGCCCCCACTTTGATTGAGTTTGTAGAAACGTAAGTTTCGAAAACGATAGTCAAAGTAGTCGATTAGGACGGAGAATGATTTAAGACGTTCTTCGATCCCAAATTCGAGTTATACCAAATCTTGAATGGTATCTTTCAGATTCCAGCACTGTTCAGTAGAGTGACCTCTTCCTTGGTGGAACTTGCAGTGAGCATTGGGGTTCCACTTGGCACTCCTTTGTTCAGGATTTGGCTTTGGGAATGGTCCAATAGGTGTAATCAATCCTTGACCGTAAAGGCGATCAAAGGCGGTGTCGTATGTCATTCCCAAAGGAGTGTAAGTTCTCCTTTTCTTTTGAAGGGGAGTATCAAGAGCTAGCACTTCATTGATATCAACCTGGCTTACATTGTTGGTAGTATTTTCGGGCTTAGAAGACGAAGAAGAAGGAAGGTCGTTCTTCTTGTTTTTCCAAGTGTTGTTACTACCAGCAGTCTTTATTAACTCATCCTCAATATTGATGCCAATATCGTACACAGCTTCGAAGTGTTCAATGGAAGGAATTTGAGATGTTGCCTGTACTTGTGAGTCAGATTTTGGATAAAGAGACAAACCATCTCCTTTTCTTTGGGAGGAGTGCAGCTGTTTCTCTGCACCTACTCAAATAGGCAGTGAACCCTTTATTTTCTTTCTGCTTCAGGATAGAAAGCTCATGTTCGGAAGTCTTGTTTTGAATGTTACACTTGTAACGATTCATGAAACTTTCAATGACATCTTCCCAAGTCGCAGTATACTTGAAATCTAGAGAATAGAACCATTGTTGGCAAGCATGCTCTAAAGAGAGAGGGAACACTGTAGGGAAGAGTGCCCTATCCAATCCCTTGAGAGCCATGGTTGTCGAGACGGCCTTCAAATGAAACATTGGATTTTCAATAGGTTTGAACTTAGGTATGTCGGCAGTGGAGAACTTTTCAGGAAGCTTTTCCCTTACAACCAAAGCGGTGGAAGGTTGTTCCACATAGGTGAAGTCCTCAGAAATCTTTCTCACTTGCTCTTTGATCTTGTCAACTACAGCAACAGTGACCTTAGTTTGTTCCATGGTATTGACTTGGGTAGTGAGTTTTTGCATCATGGCAGAAAGTGCCTCGATGGACTTGTGAATACCCTCAATATCTTCTTTAGAGGCCATTGGAATGAATTGAAAGTAAACAAGAGATGGTGATGGAGATGAATTTCATGGAGACGATTGTGGTGATTTCCTTGTACGCCTCTTAGGTATAAGAGGTTGTTGTGGTAGTGACTCGAATCGTACCAATCTATCCCTGCTTTTTGACCAAGTACTGTGAAATAAAACAAATTCACTTAATGGTTTGACTCAACATTCCAAATAGGAAAGAAAAAGAGAGAGGAGAGAATTTGAAAACAGGTGAGAAAAAACTCCACTCATTTTTATTATGACGGTAAAAGGAGACATATGCATGAACCTAATATACGATCATAAACGACATGGTGTACGACTCGAATCGAAAAATAAAGAAAGTGTGTGGACTATACTTGACTCATGAGTGATTAGGTGATGTTATAAAACTCGTGGTATGATCGCATGGCTAGACATGTAAACAATATCAAAACGACTGACGGGTGGACCAAAAATAGCACAGAAAACCAAAACAGGGACTGGCTGGACTAAACCTGATTATCGTGGCACGATAACAATTGCCGTGACATGGAAAATTGTACCGTGGTAAGGTACATGTTTCCGTGGCACGATAATTAGTTCCAAGTTCTTTTTGTGCATTTTTTCCAGTTTTTTGTTTTTTTTAGTGTTTTTTTTTTTTTTTTTTTTATAGTTTTTGGGCTAATTACTAAGTGAGGATGGTCCGTTGGCATTAGTTAGTCGTAAAATAAACCACCATAGACAAAGAATGATCATTAAGGTTAGGATTAAACCATCAAGGATGCACACGTAGAGCACATAGTCACAATGATGCAATGTAAAGTTCGCAACCTAAGGTCAAGTTCTATGTTCCACTATGGTCAAGCTTTTTGGTGTCAAAAGGGTACCATGGTTAAGAGTTTGGACGCGTTAGCAAGGCATCCTCCCTTGAGGGTGTATTCCAACAGGCGGCTCCGCAAGTTTGTGATTAAATCGGACTGGAATCCATAGTTTGGGTGGATTTAATAACTCGGATGAACCCTTATTGTCATGAACGTTTTCAGGTTGATAGAGCTTAAATCCCCCGGGTTTAAAATGTATGTTAAACACATACGGTTTTCAGAAAAAACGAAGGAAGCTAATAACGAGAAAAATACAGAGCCACTGGAAGGATTTCAAGACTGTCGCGACATGGCAGGAAATACCGTGTCATGGTACAGTTGCCGTGTAACGGTGATCTTCCTCGTGACACGACAATTTTTCCGTGGCGCGGCAGTCAGGAAATCTGACCAATGCCTCTGTTTTTTCATTTCCGGTCAGGTTATTCGATTTTTCCTATGAGGTGAACCTAAATACGACATTAAAACGTCGATGCATATGCAAAAATGCCAAATTAATCACAGGAATACGATTTAAGAATCTTTCAAGTCTTATCCACTCATTTGAATTAAATATCGATCACGCAAATCGATAAATAACCAAGAATCCTCCCCAGTGGAGTCGCCAAATTGTAGGCGTCACTCAAAGCGCGCCTACGTTAAGCATGTTGTGAATATGCTTGGCACTCATAGGAAGTGGGAATTGACATACGATTAGGGACACAATTAGGGACAAAGCAAAGTAGGGAGCCGCCAACATGTTTTTAAGGAACTTGTAAACCGTTCACGGATCATTTTAAGGCAACCACGATAAGGGACAACGAAAGACAACAGCGATTGACCCGTGAAGGTTACACCCCATTCATAATCCATGAGATTACTAACTTCATATGGTTTGGAACCACAAAAGGAGGATCGGGGATGATGGTACGAAGTGAGTCATGGAGTCACATTACTCGTATTAGCCTCTACTCGATTCTTATCGTGAAAAGTATTCCTGCAATCTCAAAGGCACACAAACAAAGATTCAATTTGCTCCAAACTATTATTAGGCTATTGGTTGAATGTTAATGCGACACATAATTCTAAATATTAGTGATCACTTCAACTAACAACAAGATTAAAAAGGAACCTAAACCGGTCGTCCAAATTATCTTATTAGGCGTTATATTCAATTACATATTCCCTTTAAACATGAAATATGGTGATCAATATAATAATAATAGAACCATCATTAACATTGGGAGCAATTCAACCATAATGACGTTAGTAAAATCAAATCATAATAATAACCCTAATCATGATACTAGTAATACGAAATAAAATGAGTAATTAAATTAATTAATTACTCACGATCCGTGCGCTCCTTAAAATTGCTACATCATGAATAAATTGTCAGTAACTTCAATAAAAATAAATAATAAAGGAAATTAAATCAAATAAAAGTAGAGTTGATTTGGGGCCAAACCCTCAAACAGTTCTACCTTTCACGCCTTGGTTTAAGTTTAGAACCTCGGGTAAAGTACGGATTCCGGG